ATATTGTAGCCTTTCGTCATGAAAGACATAGTCGACTTTTTGCAGCCGGTTGCAGGAACCGATTGCTTTTCTTTAATCCCTGGGCCGCTTACGTTTTCTGAACGCACGTTGCAGTGGACGCAATCGACGATACTGTGCTTCTTCCTCCTCCTCGCGGCCCAAGGCGAGTGGAACAGCGAAGCTACTCTCACCGCAGAACGGACATGACGCCGCCGTCTGCTCGTCTGCAGGAGGAGAACCCTTCGCCGCATTCAACGCATTCATCGGTTCACTTGAGTAAGACAAGGAACAAACAACATGCCCACATTCCCAAAAACCGACAAACTTGTGAAGGCCAGACGAAGCGTCGAAGCCTGTCAAAGGGCATCGAATATGCACCTTTTCAGCTTCCTCAATGTTTGAAATTTCACGCACATCGGCAAGCCTTGTTATCACGCCATCTTCATTTGTATCCTTCTCTGCTGATGTGGGGCGGTTCCTTCGTTTCAGTATTTCATTCAACACAACTCGTTTTGAGTACAAACGGCCGCGGAGATCGAATACTACGGGGGCTTCCAACGGCTCCAGTGATAATGCGCAATGTGCCCACTGCTGTGCACGCCGTTCCTTCTCCCTTCGCGACACATCGCTTTCCCTGCATTCTTCCGTTCTCAGCTCTTCAGCCGTGAGAAAGACCTTGGACCCATCAAGAAGCTTCCGCTTATTGGAAAGTGCCTGGCCATCACCGCCCATTGACACTCAGTTACCTGGAAATAAATTAAAGAAAAAAGAACAATGGCGTGACCATACACAAGAATCACAGTAGAAGAGAGGAAACGAGGTAGTAAGAAATCCTTTGAAATACAAAAACGAAAAAAAAACGGTAATTTGAGGTGTGCATGACTTCCACCTCGTGGTGCTCGTAATTATACAGTGCTGTTGACGTTCGACCTTGCGTGCAGAGGATTCAATTCCTTACATGGTTTGTTTTTCGACTCGTCCTTTTGGGACACTTGCCTCCACGTGTCGGTTTAGCAACGGGCAAGANTTTTCAGGAGAATCATAATCGTAATGTACAGTCACTTCATGCGGTGGTATATCACCCGAAGGTGTTGGCGGCAACGGCGGTTCTTGATTTAACAAAAAGGCTTCATATATAGATTGTCTGAAATTGCGCACAATGAGTCCAGGCTCCACACGATTAAGCCACATACGAAGCCCAAGACCCGTCGTCCCACCATGACTCTCTATGATCCTCTGCTTTACTGCATAAAGCTCGAGGTCTGTTTTACATGTAAATTCACCGTCAAATACGGGCATTCCTACCATTTTATGGCGCACTATCACCTTTTGGCTGGAGGCCTCCTTTGACATTAGGAATGCACTATTCTATTCATGAAACGTCATTGAATGGGGAAGGGAAATTCCACCTGGCAGTGATGAAGTGCGAACAACAGGGTTTTCACAAGATCGACCATTGCAGTCGATCGGCAAATAGTTTTAAACAATATCTTCACCAAAATGGCGCAAATGAAGATGACATCAAAAAAAACAACAACTCAGTTTGTAGTATCGTTTGAGGCACCACAATCCATACGGCTCAGCTTCGATTCGAGTATAGAAAATCGGGACTCCAACGCATCCAGCCGTCCACAAAGTTTGGTCTCAAGTCTTTCCACTGCTGCCAGTATATTTGCTAACGTTGTCGCTACAGGAGGTTGCTCAGGCTGGAAGCCACTTTCATTTCGATAACGCCCGCAGCTTGCACTGGATCCCAACACCAACGCAGGCTCTGAAGAGGGGTGAGACGAAAGAGACAAACGGCTCACTGGAAGTGGTTCCAAAGAAACAACTGGATCCCACATCACTCGAATTAGATAAAGGGAATTTACCTCGCTACTGTAAATACTTAACCTCCAACGTTCATGGTGTCCGCATCGTTGGCATTCATCGGTACAATATAAAACCACTCGATGATAGACTGTACCTTCACAAACCATTGCTTTTTTGCTAGCAAGGCTACCAGCCCAGAAATGTCCCAGAAATTCTGTGCCACCTGGGGCAACTCCTTCCGCTCTTGTGGTGTAGGTTATCCCGTTCCATGAGCTAGATGGGTGTTGTGCGAGCAAACCCACATAACATTTCTGAAGCTCCACATTTTGTGTTTCAAGGTTACAGAGCAAACTCAGTATATCTCGTTCGCTTACGAGATTGGAGTTCCCCCAGTATGGCGTTTCATAGTCCGTATTGCCTTGCTCTGGAGAAACAGAGGCTGGAAACTTGTAACGTTTCCCGACACAATGCATAACAGATGCATTTTCACTAGAAAAAGTTGACCCTACGGACTTACTCGTTGTATCGGCCGGTTCTGGGCCATACTTTCCGGTGAGAATAGCAAATAGCTGCTCTTCTTCACCTCTATAGGCGTCGAGGTACTCTTCCACTCGACTTAGCTTTTGGGGGTTGTAATGTTCGTAGAACCGGTAGAGTCGTTGATAGTAACCGCGCCGGATGCCCTCATCAAAATCTGCTTGCTTTTCTTGTGTGTATCCAGAGTTACTCTCCCGTGATTCCCATACGCTCTCGCTCAAATTCGAAAAATTTTTGGAAAACAAGTTTCTTGAACCTTGGCAGGTGGCACTTGGATGGAAAGAAACTGCTTTAGAGGACCTTGCGGCGGGTTGCGGAGACGATTGTCCGACGGATGCCACCTGCTCCAGCGGCAAAGTCTCATCCATGGCTAACCTTTTTGACAGTGATTTCAAGAAGAAAGGAAAAGAATGCTTTCGAGACCAATCATTAGATGTAGAAGAGGGGAAAAGAAAGAATATCAACACAACATAACTCTACTTCGTCGGAACAAAAAAAATCTACCCTGCGGGAAAACAGAAGTTGTGATTTGGAAGTTGAACCCAATCAATACAGTCATTTCAAGTAGCCAAAAACAAAACAAAACAACGATTAGAAACCAGGCATCTGGAGGAGAGAGAGAGAGAGAGGAATGATATAGATGGTTCGGCCTTCACACTCGGACTACTGCCCACAGGTCCAAGCCACGGCCCATTCAGCACAAAACAAAAAAACTCCAGCATACAGTGCGTGCAGAAAAGCACCAGGAATAATTTTCAAAACAACTATCAGCCCCCCACCCCAAAAAAAAAGAAGGTCGCCCTTTTCTGATACGCTGCGGTCACTGCTACCAAATAATCCGTCTCTTCAATCATGATCAGCTTCGGAGAGACTGACACACCGCCGTTTAACGATCATCTTCAATTCAGACGTTGACGTTCCGTTGGGCTTGTGCAGTTGCGTCAGAGAGCTTTTGCACACGTGCAATTGCCCCCTGACACAAGCATTCGAAACAAACGTTATACGGAAACACCTTCGCAAGCCAAGCACCTTGCATAAATCCCGTGGATAAGAAATGCCAAGCCGTCATCGAGCATAAACCCTTGCTTTGGCGGTACTCATCTACCACGATCCAGGGAAAGGAACGGCACCACCCTCTTTGACAAATAGTTCATATATATAGATGCGAAGGATACGTAATGGCATCTTCCTGCCTTACACAAACTGTATCGAGCATACCTTGTTGTTGTTGTTGCTGGTCGAAAACACCAGACTCTAACCCCACGGAACAGTTACGAAGGACCCATGTGGCGAATCCACTCCCCGCTCCCCTCCCCTCCTGGGGCAGCAGCAAAAAAAAAAAACCAAAGCAACAGTTAGAAATAATGACGCTATCGCATGGATCGCCGGGGCGTTTCAGGTCCGCTTTACTCTCCCCCCTTCACTGTTCTGTTTTTTTTTTTCTTTCCCCCGGTTCGCACGGGAAACCCTTCGGCCTTAATGTCACTTCAGAGGATTCTCTAAGAGAAAACGACAAGAAATAGGCGGCTGGTAAACATCAAGAAGCAGAGAGCACACAGCCGCGCAGCAACAGCAACATACCAAGAGCAAAAGGTCAAAGAGAGACCAGTCCTTTTTACTTCTTTTTTTTGTACTTAAACGGATTATTCCCACTCGTGTCCACCCTTTTTTTGCTTTGTTCCTCACCAACCACCCAACCCACTCTCGCATCCAGGGCCCGGAACAGTTGTTAAGTCTCATTCCTATTCTGGCGCCACTTCCTTCAATGGGGGGAGAGCGTTGACCTTGCGTCACAGCATCAGCTTTTGAACACAAGGTCCAGCGGGTTCTGCTCTGGTGCAGGGTTGAGAGCCTTGTGTGTTTCTGACATCGTCTTAATACCTTCATTAACGTGCATCTTCTCCAGGCGTCGCGTCTTCCTGTCCCGACGCTGCTCTGTTGGGGTCTTCGCAATGGCACTTTTCCAAATGACGTTACCCTTGAAGCAACCGTTAAGAATTGCGGTTGGCTCCAGCGTGAAGCGAGGCCCAATTTCCATGAGTGACTGTGGCTCTGTGTCGACAATTTGATAATGGCGGAACCAAATGTGATTATCGAGGTAGAAGAAGCACACAATATGGTCAATAAACGGCTTCGACTTTGGATGATAACGCGGCGTATTGAAAGTCATCTGAAGAAGAGACTTCACAACACGGAGATGTGGCTGTGTTTCGAAATCCCGATCAAAGTGGAGGAGAGGGCGGCCGTACTTCAAGCAATTCCCTGCCATTCGAAGCTCATCAGCCGTGTGCACATTTGTCAACTGCAGTTTCACACTAGGGCCACTGGGAGCTTGCGCAATCCACAAGTAGCTAATGTCGTGCCGGTGAGCCTCAATAAAAAGGGAGCTGTTGCACTGATGAAGCGAGCACAGATCTACCAAATCGTCCCCCAGACCTTGGGTCCGACCAAGCTTTGGATGGTCACGCGCGTGTGGCATCAAGCCACGAATGTCAGCAAGCAGGTGGCGATCCTTGCTTGAGATGTTACGAGATCCCACAACGAGGCACTTCTGCCGATTTGTCATGCGCTTGTCGGTCGTCGCACGCTGCAGCTGTATTTTCCCTATCATTGACTCCTCCACTTGACCCTCGGCGGGACTCGGCAACTCTTCTTGTGCCTTTTCGCTGCTTTCACGCTGACGCTTTGCTGCTTTCGCCATGTTGGTGTGCGTCTCTCTTTTTCCGTGTGTCGTACTCGCTCACGCCTAGAATACTATTTCTCTCTGTTAGCAGGCGTCAAAAAAAAAAAACCAAAGACAGACCACGACACACACGACGGGAAAAAAGAAAGAAAGAAAGAACAGTGCACCAAAACGACGTGGATGATTTCGCACGTATAGGGGTAAGAAAAACACTTGTTATGTGGCAGAAAAAAGAATATACAGAGATAACACTGAAAGGATTCATACCGCAACTGTAGCAAATAAGCCAAAAAAAAACAGGAGGGAAAGCAAACTGTATAGGTAGGTCGACAATATAGCATAACACATTTCTTTTTCGTCCCTCGCCGCGCCTCTTCCTTAGCGGTTGATTTGGCCATAAAAACAGAGCACCCCTCCACCCGAACAGTCACCTCCTTCAAATCACATTGAATTGCACGAGGAAGAACCCCACGAGGGACAGAATTAGTAATATGCAACAGACATTCATAAACGTATTCACTGGTTTTGTCTCCTTCATGAACCTAGTAAGACGGCGGTTAATGTTGCGTAGCTTGTTCGCTTGTGCATCCATCGTTTGTTCTGTCTTGTCCAGCATCTGATTCTGCACCTCGAGCTGCGCTCCAATCTCCATTGCCAAGTTTTGCAATCTACCGACACCAGCTTTTAATCGATCTAGGCCGGCATCAATTTTGGCATTCTGCGCTGCAATCGTCGCCATAGACTCCTTCGTCTCCTCACTCTCCTCCAGCCGGCCACCGCCCACCGTATCGTCCTGCAGCTCCAAACCCTCGTTAGGGTCTGCGTGGCCGTTTTCACCCTTGCGTGGGCGCCGCATCGTAAGCAGCTGCGCCCGTAACTGCGCTTTACGACCCATCTGAAGTTCCTGCGACAAGTCCACATCCTTTTTCCCCACTGGGGTGCGCTGCTGGTCTAAATCCCGCACCAGCTCTAGAGTGGCGAGGCATTCCTTGTACTGCGCCGTCCGCTCGTCGCGCTGCTTCTCAAACAGTCCGAGTTTCCGTTTACTCGGTTTCTTTTTCCGGTTTTCGCGAGCCAGCGCCGCCTCAGAGGTGTCTACAAACTTCTTCATTTCATCCATTAGTGTCTCCATTGTTCGAATATCTTTCCGGATGGCGTTGGACTGCTCAATGGTCATACGGTCCTGCCCATACTCCTTTGCACCCGTGTTGCGCTCCCTAATAGCCTCCTTTGTTCGGTCGACACACCGGATAAACGCCAGCGACAAGTCCCGCATAGGGTCGCCGGTGGTTTCATGCTCCTTTTCATCTTCACGACCTGCACGCGCGCGAATACGGCGGATGCGCCTAATGGTTTCGCGCAGTGTTGAGCGCATCAAACCATCGCTGCTTGGTAGATACTCACTCATCGTTCAACCCTAACTATTCAACTTAAAACAGAAAGTTTAATAGAAGAACAACGGGAAAAAAAAAGAACAAAAAAAGGAAATTTTAATTAATGGCATACATGAACGTCAGGAAATAAGCCACACCTCTAAATGTCACGATGGATACTCATCCCAAAGAACGCCCTTAGCGGCGTTCAGTGCGAAGTGCGCAGCATGACGTCCTCATTATTAGGCGCTTAAAAGACACACACATTCAAGAGAAAGTAGGATTTCTATTTTTTTTGTCTTTACAGCATTTTTTTTCCGTGTATCTGTGTGTTTTTCTCCGACGTACTCTTACAAGGCCCGGTCCCAGAACGAAGAAGGAAACAGATCACCAAACGCCTCCACCATTGCCAGGGTGGCGGTTGAAGGCGCCGGGATCACGAAGGGCGCGCAAAGAAGCCTCAGGCATATCATTCTGCCGCATCCTGTTGACAACCTGCGGGATAAAATTCCTCTGCTGCTGTTGTTGTTGCTGCTGCTGCTGCTGCACAGGTGGGGCATAAGAATTGTACTGCATCCCTTGGTGGAAAGATCTCTGGTTTCGGTCTTGAAGCGCCCAACTCAATCCAGCGTACTCGGCAGAATGTCCAGGCTGCTGGCCCCAGTGAGAGTTTCGGTTAATGTCAGACGTCCCACCAACAGCACCAAAGGTGCGAGGAGCTGTCGTCTCAGGACGATAAAATTGTTGCTGTACTGGAGTTGGAGGTTTACCCGCTTGCCCAGAAAATGTGTATACTCCATCGTTTTCAACACCGATCGCCGTAGCACGCGGTGGAAGCAGAATGGACTCCTCCACAATTCGGTCAATCTCGAGCACATAGTACACGACAGCAGGCGTCTCTTCCAATTCCTCCTCTGGTGGGGCTGGCATGACTGCCTGTACAATAGCAGCATCGTGCTGCATAGCATCATATGTAATGTCCTCAGCTTCAGTGTTTAGGGTCTGAACATTAATATGTTCTTCCTCATGAACGTCAGGCATCATATCTACAACCTCCTCCTCCATATGCACTGTCACAGCATCTTCCACAGGTTCTGGAGGAGAGGTGGCAACAGCTGCGTTCTCAGCCCTCTTCCGTACAACGTCGACGAAAGAAAGCGAGCTACCTCCCTTGACCCAACTCGTGGTGGTCACCTGCGTCTTCTGCTGCACGGAGGGGCCATTAGATACGGGAGCCTGTTTAGGGCGCACCTCCATTGTCTTACCTCCTACATACGGCTTCTTCTTAGGGTCGCCCAAGGGAGACTTATGGTCTTCATCCTTGGAAGGTCGCTGGCGACTAACTCCTTTGGCATTTCCCTTCAAGGTAGCACTCTTGTTCCTTGAACTCATTTACACTTACAAACCTTTCTACCAAGTAGCTTTCTAAACAACAAAGACAAGCACAAACGAGAGATGGAAGCTCATCACACGGCAATATCTCATATACAACCTCCCCATTATTCAAGCAGCCATACGCACACACGCACCCCACCGGAGCAGTAGGGGAAAAAAACGGATTATTGAAGTAAAAAAAAACGAGGAAATGAGGAAAAAAAAGACAGAACCGAAGTGTCGTCAAGAAAACCGTACTCACGCGGCGATCATCTTGCCACCCATGGTGAGGAACTCGGAGTGCTCATCGGTGGGGTCGCGCGACGTCTCCGTCTCGGCCCAGAGGTCGGGCGTCAAGAAACCGTACGTCTTGCGCAGCGCGTAGAAGGTCGCCATGATGAAGTTGCCACGCGTGCGGGTCTTGCCGCAAGAGCTGGTGTACACATCCTCAACCCCGGCGAACTCCAGAATCTTCTTGGGCACGGGCGCAGCAACGATGCCGGCACCACGTGGCGCAGGGATGAGGCGGACAGCGACGGATCCACACTTGCCAGTCACCTTCATCGGGATCGTGTGCGGCTCGCCAATCTTGTTACCCCAGTACCCACGGCGCACAGGAACGATGTTCAGCTTCGCAGCGATCATGGAGGCACGAATCGCCAGCGACACCTCCTTGCCGACGCGGGCACCGACGCCAATGTGGCCGTTGCCGTCGCCAACAACGTTGAAGGCCTTGAAGCGCGTACGCTGGCCGGCGGAGGTGGCCTTCTGCACGGGGAAGATGAGCATCATCTCGTCACGCAGCTCACTCTCCTTGATCAGCTGGTCCACGATCTGGTGCTCCTTGATGGGCATCGAGAAGAGGAAAATCTCCTCGAGGGAGGTGATCTTCTGCTCCTTCACCAAGCGGCCGAGCTTGGTGCACGGAACCCACTCCTTCTCCTCGTTGCTGCCACCGCGGCCACCACGACCGCCACGGCCACCGCGACCACCGCGGCCACGGCCGAAGCCGCGCTGTTCACCAGCAGGAGCTTGTGGGGCTTCAGCCATTGTTGTGCAACACTAGCAGCTGTTGATATATATGATATATAATAAATAAGATGTCAAGAGAACAGAGCGCATAGTATGATAGTTTTAAAAAAATAATAGGAAACACAATAATGGTCTTCTTTTTTTTTTTGTTTTTATTCGCCATCTCCCATGTCTCCACTGAACTTTCAAACGCACTGGTATTTTCGGTCTATGACCGGCACGGCCGCCCCGGACGCACCTTCTTCTTTCGCTTGCTGTGGTAAAAAACGGCGTATGGTGTTGTGCGTGTTTTTGAGCAACGCAAGTGACCCCAATCGAGGGAGAAATCAGACTCATTGGCGCCGCAAAAGACTCCCATGACTTTATGCAAAAGGCTTTGGTCGGTCCAGCGGTGCTTGAAGAATCCGTTAGGGTACTCGTTCAGGTATGCTGTAAGACTCCGCACCTTTGGGTCGAGGAAGAAGTTCACGGAGCCCACAACAAAGTTGGTGTAATACGTTCGATCATCAGAGAGCCACCAATCTTGACCTTCACTAACTGCCCGCATTCCATTTGACACTAGGAACGTTTGTATAGCCTCCTGTAGTTCATCACTACAGCCACGGCCATTGTACGTATATCCAGTATGGCCTAATAGTCGGCCGTTTGACACAAGCAACTCTACCAGATTTGGTTTTAGCCGCCCAAAGAAGTCGACATCCACGTCTATCTTCGTCCAAAAACTGTAACGCCGCACAATAGGTTGATCAAACATGTCATGTGAATACCATCGCGTCCCCTGAATATAGTCAACGGAACTTCTGCTCAGTGGGCAAAATGGCGGGCATCCGCAGCGCATCCAGGTGGGTTCTTCCAGAAGCGACCAATTTTGCTGTATGTAGCGGGGAAAGGTCAAATTCACAGGTACAAGGCGGAACACAACTGTTGGTTGGTCCCGTGGCAAGTAAAAGTAGCCATCACCCAGTGAAGCCCACTCCATTTCGGTAACCACAACGTTCTTGGCAACATCATGACGCAATTCACGGAAACCTCGTTCGAGTGAGCTAAGCTGCGCCTCGTCCGCCTTCAGCATCCCAAATATCCCCGCCAATTCCCTAGCAGTAATTGTGGGGTAGGCATAGAAGATAACCAGATCGGCATTGCCCTGTGCCAACAAGTAGTTCCCCATCCATGACGGCAACGTTTCCTTCATTCGCCCTACACCATGGTACGTCACGCTTGTGAGCAGCAGCGCAAAAATCGTGCGGCCGTTCCCCGCCAACTTCCCACTTGACTTGTTGAACAGGTAATGCGTGCAGCTTGATGCTGAGGCAGGGGCCACTTTCAGTGGGCTGCCTTGACCCAGTGGAGCTGCATCAACGCGCTGTGTACCCCCATTGTCAGCTGTTGTGGTGTCACTGTAAAAAGGGGACGATATGGAAAATGTCAAGACCAGTAGCGCCGTGATGCATGTGGTGCAGCAACACCACACATGTCTGCGTTTCATCACTGTTGGGAGACGGTAAACACACACAAAAAAAAAAAGAGAAACAGAGAGGCTCACGCCCAGCGGCTCAAAGCCACTACTTCCCCATCTACATCAGCCCCTGGCACAATAGCAAATGATAGAAGACCGTATTTTGTTTTGTATTCTGGGGGTGTTCTTCACAAAGGATGAAAAATACAACGAACAATATTTTCTTCATCCACTCTGCCCTATCGCACGCTAGAGAGTATATATATATATATATATATATGTAAACAGAAAATTCAATCTCATTCCTCTCCTTCAGGAAAGAACTCATCAGGGTGGCCGCCAATGCGTTTGTCTGCGTTGAGAGTGCCAATACGCTGCATTTCTTCAGTGGTGAGCTGGAAGTCCCATACATTGAAGTTCTCCCGAATGCGCTCCTGATGAGTCGACTTGGGAATCGTCACGATACCGAGTTGAATGTCCCATCGAAGGACAATCTGCGCCGGGGACCTGCCGTGTGCCTTGGCAATCTCGCACAGCACGGGGTCGTGCAGAATGCCAGTCCGGTCCCCCTTGCCAAGGGGGGACCACGCAGTCACCGCGATGTCATGCTGTTTGCAGAAGTTCCGTACAACGTGCTGCTGCAGCCTCGGGTGCAACTCAACTTGATTCACCATGGGCTTGATTTTGCACTCCTTGATGATCTCTGAGAGGTGGTGCGGCTCACAGTTCGAGACGCCGATCGCGCGTACCTTCTTCTCTTCGTACAGCTTCTCCAGTGCCCTCCATGTTTCAATCAGCCGACGCTTCCCTGGCCAGTGAATCAGGTAAAGGTCAACGTATTCGACGCCCAGCAGCTCACGGCTTCGCTCAAACGCCGCAAGCGCCTTGTCGTAGCCGTGGTCGGCGTTCCACAGCTTTGTGGTGACCCACACATCGCTGCGCGGCACACCCGCGTCACGTATCCCTTGCCCCACGCCCCCCTCGTTCCCGTAGTACGCAGCCGTGTCGATGTGGCGGTAGCCCGCCTCGATCGCCCACCGCACTGCCCGCGAGGTCTCAATGCCGTCCTCTGCCCTCCACACGCCGAGGCCAAGCTGCGGCATGCGCACACCGTTGTGAAGCACCACACAGTCGTAAGTGCAGTTTGTCATAGATGCGATTTTGGTTTGGTGGTAGATGTAATAGTACCTCCAAATGGTAATGTGGCTATTTATGTGTTGTTACTGCCTTGTCGTCGTCGGTGGTGATAAAGGCCTCAACTCCCCCAAAAACACACACGCAACAACAAATAATAAGCGTCAAAGAACACCTAAATAACCAAAGAAAATATAAAAAAACAAGAATAAAAAAAAAGAACTTCCACCACCCTAGCAGACGTACACGCAGTCACAAAGAAGAACGCACGCCAGAAGCCTTCCGGTTTTATTCTTGTTGCATCCCCATCTTTTGCTCCGACCCCCTCTCGGAAACGTCGTTCAGTTGTCACTGTAGATTACATCAGAAAGGGAGAAACCGCAGTTTCAGGCTACATGAGTTCTGCCCCCCCCCCTTCCCCTCAAACCTCGCAACTCCCCGCACCGTCGAGCATCCACGCCAGCCGCCGCTCCACCAAAATAGCCTCTATGCGGCCAAGGGGATCTTCAGCATCTACAGCGTCATCAAAACGCGGCAGCATGCCAAAGTCAGCGAACAGGAGATGTGGCATCTGGCACAACACTTCCAGCAACGCCGGAAGGTGTGCCTCCATATCCACCTCGCGGCTCCAAAGCGACAGGCACGTCAAGTCCGTCGCGGTGACGCTCAGCTCCTCTAACAAATGGAGCATCTCACTCGCGTTGAACGGGTTGTCGGAAATGAGGAGGTGACGAAGAGGTGCTAGCACAAAACGAGGAAGAGCAGGCACCAGAGAGAGACCGGCGTTACGAATACTCAGCGATCGCAAGGCAGACGGTTCAAACGATGAGAGCGCCGCGAATGCCCCGGAAGAACCGAGCTGCGTTTCATCAATGAAGAGTGTCTCTAAATGTGTCTTGCATCGTGCGAAAAGTCGGGCCAGAGCGGCGCCACCTTCTTCTCCGCGTAGATTGTTGCGAGACAACTGCAGCTCCTTTAATGTGAAATCGCTATCTGCACCAGCAGAAGCTGCCCACTGGGTGATTTGATCAGGACCCAGACCATTGCCGTTCAGATGCAACACGTGCAAGCGGCAGCATATCTTTGCCAGCATTTCGGCCTCCATCTCCCCCCAACAGTGAGACAGGTCGTTGTGTCCAAGCAGCAGCGTCGTGATGCTGCTTGTGGCGACAGCACGCAGTAACTCCAAAAAGCATGAAGGCCGCGAAAGCATGGTGACGTCTACTGGATACCCTGTGGCTTTTACAACAGCAGGATCCATTTCATATGGAGACTCATTAAAGCCCATGCAGTTGCTCTCCAGTGAAAGAGAGGTAAGTGTGCTGTTGGTGCTCAAGGCCTTTGACAGACAGCGAATGCTCTCCGGGTACATGTTATTGTATGCGAGGTCCAACACTTTGAGTGTGGTATTCGACGAGAGCGCATCAAAGAGAACGACGCAACCAGGTGACACATAATGTGGAACATCCACCTGCTGCACCGCACCCACCCCCTCGCCCAACTCCTCGTCTGCCTCTTCATCCACGGCACGGAGGGCAACACGTTTCCTGGCAAAGGCGTTGTGCCGCAACAGTAATACTTCTAACGACTTATTCCCGGTGAGGGAATCACCAATGCGCTTGGCCCCCTGACTCCCAATGTTGCAGCTGCAGAGATCAAGCAAACGTAGGGACTGCAGCCCAAGCTTCGATGGAGGGAAGGGCATCTCAAAGTTGTCACGTGACTCTTCCAGCTGCGCTTCTTCTTCTGTGAGACCCGTGGCATCATCGGCGAAGTCAACGTCCGGCGGCACATCTGTCATGGCCACCGCTGGGTGGTCAATCTCGTCGTCGTCGTCGTCACCTTTCCAATCATCTTCTTCACCTTCTTCTGTTGCTGCAGAAGGGGGCGGTGGTGGCTGCCACTTATTATCGCCGCTGGCCTCACGCATCCCCGGCCCCTCCATTGCCAAGGCCGATGTGAGCGCGGTCCAGGCGGTGCGATGGGCGTACAGAAGCTGTCGCCGCTGCGCCACCTCCGCGAGGGCGGTATTTCTCCGATCCGAGAGCAGAGACGTGAGCAATACACCAGCTTTTTCGCTGAGCTCTGCTCGAATGCGCTCCATCTCCTCTTCTGTAAGAAGCACCTCGTATCGTAGCACTGCCGCGACACCTGCTGCGCCCTCGTTGCCAATGGGATTGCCTCGCAAGCGCAGCACCTGCAGATGAGACCACCCGCTGCGTCGCTGGCAGTACTTCTCAATGGCAATGCGCTTCTCCTCCGCGAGCTCCGCCCGAATCGTGCGCAGTACCAGCACCAGCGCATCCGCCTCCTCTACGTAGGCGTTTACACACTCCACGCGCGCCTTCTTCTCCTCGCGCTGCAGCCTTCGAAAGAAGCGGCGGAATTTCTGAGCAAGAAGACTAGACATATGGTATTGCGCCTCCTCATCTTCCTCACCTTCCTCTTCGTTTTCGTCGTTGTCACCGCTCTCATTCCCGTTTTCATCCTCCTCCTCCTCCTCCTCCTCCTCCCCTTCCTCCTCCTCCTCATCGTCGTCAGTCCCCTCCCCAGCGGCCTTCATTTCGGTCGCCGCCGCCGCCGCCGGAATCCCGTTTTCCTCGGTCTCTTCCTCAGGTCTTTCTTCTTGCACTTCTTCCTCTTCCTCTTCCTCCTCCTCTTCGTCATCGACATGAGGAAGAAAGAAGGAAAGGTTCAATAGGTCACCGCCTTCAGCTTCCTCTTCACCATTTGTGTCATCTTCACCGTCCGAGAGGTCACGCGGAGTGAGACGCGTGTCCGATACACTAAGAGCTCCCAGCAGTATCTTTGCGTTGCTGCCGTCGATGTTGTTGTAGCTGAGGTTCAGCTCGAGCAGGAACTTGTTTTCTTTCAGGTATTCCGCAAGCAAAGTGATGGCATCACTGTCGTTTGCCGCCAGCCCGAGGTCGTTGCACTCCATGTCTACAACGCGTATTGTGCTGGCCTTTAGTAATGGCACGAAAGTCTCTGCCACACGGGCAAACATTGTGCGCGGGACACCCAGTGTGGTCAAACCCTGGGCGGCCTGGAGGAAATCCTGCAGCTCCGTCGCATCGGTTTCCTCGGCAAACTCCCCGGCAACTACGAGCGAGCGCAGCTGTTCCACCATGCGGTGATTGGCACTTAACGCCCCCAGCACATCGTTGAGAGAGATGTTTGAAGATAGCGCCGGCATCAATGCGAGGTGACGCGCACTCTCTGATATACCGTAATTCTTTCGCTCAGCCTCCAGTCGCATAATATAGGTAATAAAATCCACCAATTGATCCGATGGCATCTGCACAATGGGTAGCGCGCCAAGCTCCGGTCTAGCCTTCCAGATATGGGAGATGTGGTGCACCACAATTGGTATCTTATCACGCATGATGCACTCAGAATTTTCATCCTCTGAGCTGGAAATAAGCGGGATCTTTGCCTGGTGGATCGCGAGAACAGAAGCGCTCTCAAGCCTCGGCCATTCTGACATAGCAACCCTGGAGGCCACGAGGTATGCACTGAACTGTGGGATAGACGATCCCACTCGCCGCGTCAACTCTGTTCCCATATCATTTACGGCAACGCCACACTGAGCAGCGACAGCACCACTCTGTTTCGCCGTGCCATGCCTCTTCGACAGCGTTGGAAAGGTCGACTCATACTCATCAGCCTTCTTGAGTAAGTGAACCTTATCGAACTGCAGAGGCGAATTGGCACTCAACGTTGGGCACCAAGTGCGAGGCATCATCACTTCACCAAGTTGCACTATACATGGAAGGATAAAATGAAAGAGCCAG